TATATAAAATATTCTGTAAAAGTTCACTACCTTTCACTTGGTTGTTCCAAATATAGCAAATAATGATTTATATATAATAAATTTTATCACTACATAATTTTAAAAGATAAATGTTCACATGGTTGTTCCAAATATAGCAAAAATGATTTATATATAATAAATTTTATCACTACATAATTTTAAAAGATAAATGTTCACATGGTTATGCACATTGGTGTAGTTTCATTAGATGAAGTATGTTATTTAAAATATCCTGATATATTTTTAGAAACATACTTAATGATGTGGATAATATAGTTATAATAAGGAAATATACAAGGATGCAAAATTATACTTAGGTTATAGCTCAATTTTGCTAAAAATAATGAAATACTAGAAAGAGTTACATTAAGTATTAAGAGTTTCTCTCTGTTGATAGGATTGCCAGGTATTATATGTCTGTAGGTTTTAAATTATCTTCAACAAGTATGCATTATTTTTATATGTTTAAAATGTTATAAATAAGTTCCCTAATTTAGTAGACTGTGTCTTCCATTTCTGAGTCTTTCTATGAAGAGACATTTCAGCACTATCTAGATCCGTTAGTGACCTTTAACTGGCCAATATTCCTGACATCACCAGCCCTCATAGATGTGTTTTACCCCAATGGAATGGAAGGTCTATTCAGTATAGAGAAGATACTAGGTTACAAGTATTCTGACACAAATACAAGCAATGAACACAAAAAAGATACATAGCATAATGAAATGTGGCATGGAGCTAACACACCTGGAAGGGCTAAATCCCTCTGAATGGCTAGAGCAGTTTCCCATCAGCCTTCTCCCTGGCTGACTTTAGTCAGACACATTTGAAGATATAAGTGACCTGAATTTATTGCCTCACAGGTATAAAATCTCAGAGTCAAAGGCTATTTTTAAAACCCATTTTATTTATTTCTCATGCAATTTGAGAATCTCTGCAAAAGGGGACAGTTAGCATATGCTAATAGTAAGAAAGGCAATTGTTTTGGTACTTTCATGGGCTGAATTGTGTTCCCTCTAAATTCAAATATTGAAAGAATAATCTCCAACATGACTATATTTGAAGACAAAGCTTTGTCTTCAAATTAAGGCTAAATGAGGTCGTAAGAGTGGAGACTTAATCCAATACGACTGGTGTTCTTAAAGGAAGAGGAAGAGACACCGACAATGCGTTTGCACAGACGAAAGACCAGGTGGGGACGTGGTGAGAAGGCAGATGTCTAAATGACAAGGACAGAGGCCTCAGGAGAAACCAAACTTGCCAACACCTTGATCTTGGACTTACAGTCTCCAGACTGTGAGAAAAAAGTTTCTGATGTTTAAATCACCTGGGTTATGATATTTTGTTATGGCAGCCCGAGCAGACTAATACAGGTATTCTGGGCTTTGTAATCAGGCTCCTGACTCACTTTCAGAGGTGTGGTGAGGGAAAATAAAAGTTCAATAAGAAGAATATGTAGAGATGAAAAGCATGGATTTGGGGACTAGATAGACCAACATTTGAAATGGTTCCTCTAATTAATGACTAGAATTTCTTGACTTGTTTAGGCTTCAGTTTTGCTACCTGTAAAATTAGAACAACCATGCACAACTTTTAACCCCACCTTAATCTTCAAGGCTTAGTTCTCCTCCATACTGACCAACACTGAAGTCCAAACAGACATTATATTTTAAGCTATTTGGTGACAAGAATAACATGAAATATAGCTACTTGTAAGAAAACAGTTATAGAAAAAAAAATGTCACGAGTGATTTTGGAGCTATAAATCTTTAAAATATTACACAACAACTGAAAATCATTGAAGAGCTTATGCTCACTGGAGCTAGAGAAGATGATTGTGGGTTATTAAAAAATAGTATTCTTTTTAAATATCATTTGGGTAATTATTGTGTTGTTCCATTATGGTAACATTTGCCATAATCTTTCGTTGTAGACCTGTTGATGATTTAACCAAACAAAATGCAGAATGTAGTATTATTTGGTATTAGAAATTTGTGTGACTTTAGGTCTCCTTTTCTTCACACTACTTTTTTCTGGCTTTGCACAATGTCACCTCACATCATTCTGTGCATTTGGAAATAGTCAAGGATCACAGTTTCTCATCTGCCATCAGCTCTACCACTCCCTTGTGGACCAATGCTGTGCAATTTCTGTGCATGGAAGGGATCTTAGTTTCTTTTCCTCTGGTTACTTCCTTTTGTTTTCTCTTTTTTCTATCACTTTTTTCACTAACCTATTTCTATCTTGCATCAGTTTCACTTTGTTGTCTTCTTTCTTTGTTCCCAAGAGTCAGAGGACTTCACCTATTCATTCCTCCAACACTGGTAACGCATTATTACCCACTCTGTGACAGGTCTTAAGGGTGCAACAACAAGTAAAGTAGACATGGGCATGACCTGATGGCACTTATGGTTTCATAGCACAAACCATTAGGCAAGCAAGCAATCTTGTTTAAGAGAACACACACACACAAACACAAGCACAAAGGTGAGGGGCTACAGAGATATTTCAGTGAGCCTACAGGTGCATATCTAAGTCATACTTAGGGAATCAGAGAAGGATGTTCACAGGAAACATCTATTCTGGGCCTAAAAGATATCATACCCCACTATGCACAATGACATACTTTGGTCCTAGAAAAGTGCTTAATATATTAATTACTAACACATGTGTGAAGTTCATTCAATGATATGTTTTAATATTAATTGTTATTAATAAAATATATGCTGTGATCTACAATTTTAATTTAAGTAGTTCTGTCAGTTTCAATCTTGTTGATTCAATAATTTTAGGGAAAAATCTATTTTTAGTTTGTAATATGAACTCTATGACCTATAAGAAATGATAATTATAAAATTTCTTCACCAAGTATCAATAACATATTCTATGTTTTATATAGTGTAATTTCTACAAAATGGTGAAAAGTTTATTTGTTCTCATTTTACTTAATTCTGGAATTAAGTCTCAGGGAAGATAAGTAGCTTGTTTCCAGAGCATCTTCTCTTCAGTGTAGCCTGAATGCTTGGGTTTGTACCAAAGTCTAATACTATATACCTGAAGGAATGCGACTCAAGTTATTACAAAAGCACCTGCACACCCATGTTTATTGCAGCACTATTCACAATAGCCAAGCTATGGAAACAGCCAAGATGCCCCAATACTAACAAATGGATTGAGAAAATGTGGTATTTATACACAATGGAATTTTATTCATCCACAAAGAAGAGTGAAATTTTGTCATTCGCAAGTAAATTGATGGAACTAGAGAACATCATCTTAAGTGAAGTTAGCCAGGCTCAGAAGGCCAAAAGTTGCAGTTCTCCCTAATATGCAGATTATAGACCTAAAACAAATGCAATAACATTATTGGACATGGGTCACACACTAGGGGAGAATGTGCACAGGAGGAATAGTGAAAGGGAAGGAAACCTAAAACTTGAATGTGGTTGATGTGCTCACTGTACAAGAACGAATATAGTAATCTTAAACTGAAAGAGGCTACTATGGAAAGAGAACTAGGAAGTAGTGAAGAGGTCTGGTAGAAATTAACCAATGTGGGTTGCAATACATATGTGCATGGAAGCAATACTAGGAATCTCTGTACAGCTATCTTTAACTCAAACTAGCAAAAATGATATGTCTTTCTTATTATCTCTTATGTTTTCTCTTCAACATAATTGGAGAAGATGGCAGAACAGGTTCTGCCGGGAATTGAGAGAGAGGTGGCACAAACAATGTATACACATGTAAGTAAATGTAAAAACGATAAAGTAAAAGGAGAAAAGAAAATAATAAAATAAAAAACCAAAATTTAACTCTCACAGATTGTGTTACCTTGACTTTTCTAAGTTTCAATTTCATCACTTGTAAATGTGGATAACAATATCTTCCTTGCAGAATTAATATCACAGAGTTCTACTCAATCATGATGAGTGATATGTAAAAGTAATTATTGTCCATTTAATATTCTCAGAGTAAGAGCAGTCACAAACGTAAATGAAAATGCAGCTGTCCACAAACGCCTCACACTAACATCTGAATGTGTCCCCAGAAGGCTCTGGGTATCATAAGAGGAGAGGCTGGGTCTGGCTGTCTTCCTGTTATAACCTTAGTACCTGACATTAATGTGGATATCTGAATACATAAATAATTAATTCTACCTCTGACTCTAACTTGTCGTGACCTTTCACAAAAATTCTAATATCTCTAGGCCTCAGTTTTTAAATCAATCAATGTTTGATTAATAATATCTCACCTGAGAGTCAGATACAGTATATAAAATGATATGTGATGAAAGAGAATAATACTTTACAAATATAAGGATGATACAGAAACCAGACAATAAACCTAATGTAGGCTTCCTTCATTCAAAAACTCTTCCAACAACTTACTTCATTTTACTTAAGTGTCATTATGTGAACTGAGTCTATATACTATGTTTCTCCTTGAATGATTTAAAAGTCATCCCACAGTGAGTCATACTTGTGAGTCTTAAGATTATTCTTTATTTCAGGGGATTTTAAGGCAGTTAAGCACATGACCATGGCTATCATTGATTCAACTGATTCACACTCACAGAGCCAGTTAGTGGGGACCATGCTGGCTCCCAGTTTTAATCATTCAATCTGTGGGGGACAAAGTAGTCTGTGCGGAGCCCCCTGCCCTGGTACATTCCCAAGGATCTGTCTGCAGCTGAGCAATGGTAGAGTGGTGAAAAGGATTTAGGTAAGCAGTGGTGGAGGATCTATAGTAGTGATTACACACACCTTGGTGAAGCAGCACAAACCAATTTTCTACGTTTTTAAGCTCTGGCTTCAGTTCATGACTGATATGACCGACCATATGGATCATGAAACTAGATTGGTAAACAGGAGACAAAGCAATACAGTTTCAAAAACTGCATTTTCAGATACATATACACTATAGTCACCTTGCAAATATCTCTATTCACTATTAACTGGTAGCAATGGAAGTCTTACCTGTGACTGTGTAATTCTCCCCACTGACTGAATAGATCAGCCTCCCATCCATGTATAAAGAGTACTGGGTTATAATACCATTTGCTTGTTTGGGTGGGTTCCAAGAGAGTAACAAAGAATTAGGAAGTAAGTTGGCTACTGGTGGCTGAGCTTCTTGTGGAGCTGTGGAAAAAAAAAAAAAAGAACTATGCAGTCTAATTTGAGTTTGCTTTTCTAACTCAAACTTTTCAGATCCAAACTAATAAATCATGGACTAAACCTGAAATTCTATGGATGGGAATGTTCCTGACTTGTGGGCTGCTTGTCAGTAATTGCTTTAGGAATAGTGCTAAATAAATGTCCTGAATTTATGAGCGTCTGCATGGTTGATGGATGGGGAGTACTCACACTAGTTCACTTGACTGACATTTGTGTTACTTCATCAAAAGTATTATTAACCTGTACTGTCAATATAAGGTACTTCATACTAAAGCAAATGCATCAGCTAGAAAGTCCCCTCGCCTGGAGGAGCTTATGATCTGAGGTAGGCAATGCTGTGAGTGGCTCACAGTAGGTGTTTTTTTTTAAACCCTCTATGTAACTGTAGAAACAGCCAGAAAATGAAGAATTAATAATATTAATTATATATTGAAACTACAATGAAATATTTAGAAGTTTTTTTATATAGTGGTCAATGAATTAGAGTCATACAAACTAAATACTTAAAAATTGACTCTAAATTATAAATATCATTTGGTAAATTAGGAATAACTTCTTAGAAATGTTATGTTTAGGAATTCTTTAAATAATGACTGACAAGGAAATGTGAATTGATTGGGCATGGAATCTGCCTTGACATGGCTATGAAATGAGTTTGAAGGGTACCAGGCAAAATCTAGACAGGGAACAATAGATGTAGAGAAAATAATGAGAGAGGTGGGTGATTTGTGTCATATTAAGGCTAGTGGAAGTACATGTAAAAGGGGGTGACAATCATGTTCCCCAGAAGACACAATGACACATTGAGAAAATTTGTTATATTTAATAGACAAGGTAGAAAAAATATTGAGAGAATGTTGAAGATGGGTCACTGATGGCATAGCCCAGAAGAAGGGATTCTGGTTAAAGCAGGCATGAAACACAGAGAAGAAATGGTCAGAGAAAGATTTTACAAAATCCTTTCTCTTCTCACTGCTTTGTCAGATGGACTGATGTTTTCCCCTTTTTTTTTAATATCTTCTATACAAATGGAGCTTGGTAAAGGACCTAAAGGGGAAAGAGGAGGAGTTGGAATATGGATACGAGAGAGAGAGAGAGAGAGAGAGAGAGAGAGAGAGAGAGACTAACTCTTTTCCTGAAGATCAAGCTTTTAAATTTCCCAAATAACTTTACAGCTAGACCACATAAAAATGTAAAATTCTTCTCATCCAGGAGATAGAAATATGAAGTAACAATGCTTCACATGTTTTGAGAGCTGTTATTTCTTGAAGCGATGTTTTTGGATGCTTGCACAAAGCTTTTACTTTAGAGTGCTAAAATATTTTCTTTTCCACTGCCTTCTTAGTGTATGCTTTCTGAAACATTAATTTATGCCAACAGTTCTAAGTTCCAAGTACAACAAAAGTGAGACTTAAGTCAGAAGGAACTGAGCAGTGATTAATAATGCCTCAATGGGCATTTGGAGGATCCATCATACTGAAATAATTGTTGCCTGTGCTAGTGTTTAGCAGTTAAAAGAGACCATGGAAATCAACCGTTTGATTCTCAATTTCATACTGTGCCATACAATCAATTCTTTTTAGTCAGACTGTCTCTAGATTTACTTCTGAGCTATAGTGAAATGAGGAAGCTTTCATTAATCTTTCAGATGCTTCATATTAATGACAAGGCTCTTGCATGAACAATGTAACAGCAATTAAAAAGCCCATTAATCTGCATTACAGCTATTAAAGATGCATGTCATTAAAGGGTATGGAGTTTGATTCATTTTCGCACCCCCCCAAAAAATGGAGCAATTATGGCCTGGCAATGCACTTTGTCATCAAATTAGGTTGGGGTTTTCCAGCAAATGGCCTTGCAGCATTTAGCTCTTCTCCTATTTTATTATTCATGACTGAAATGTGGAAGTCAAGACCTTTGAAATTACTTTACCTTCTTGTGGAGTAGAGATGTTCAATGCATGTGAGCTCTCAGTACAGCCAGCCAGAGTGCAAGCAGTTAGGGTTACCGCATAGTTTTTGAAGGGTAGTAAGCCTGTCAATATGCCTACAATAAAAGAAGGGACAAAAAGGTTTTCATGTTTACTATAAGCTTCTATAAAGAGCAGTGTGTGTGTGTGTGTGTGTGTGTGTGTGTGTGTGAGTGTGAGGGAGAGAGAGAGAGAGAGAGAGAGAGAGGAGAAAGACAGAGATGGACAAAGACAGAACAGGGAAGAGAATCAGAATACAAGAACATATGCCTCTTTTGTTTGTAGAATAGGAAAACTCATGAGAAAAAGCTGTGAGATTGACTTATTGTTAAGTCATCTTTAAAACAGTATTTGATGTTTCCCCCATTAAGAATAGGAGGGTTCCACATATAGTTGTTGAAGCAGAGCACAATATAGACAATGGTTATCTCATTCCAGATCTCAGACCTCCCACAGAAATAAAAGTATTCAATTTTCTTGAGCCTAGCATTTTTCAACCATATTTAACTAAGGAGTCCTTTTAACACACTGTCTATTAACACACTTTAGGAAATGCTACTCCCAAGAGTGGCTTCATTATTTTAACAGTAGGATGCACATATACGAACTATTTGTTTATGCTGCAGCTAACAAATATGCAAATTAACACAGTTGAACAATTAGAAAATTAGATAATTATGCTTTTGTACTTCTACTTGCAAAATTATTAGTTTATTTAATTAAGACACCTGTCTTTAACGGATGTGTTGCACATGGAAGTATTGAATTAACCTGGCTTGGTGGTAGATATATAAGATTTGTTCAGCAGTTAAAAGTACCTGTAGAAATGAAAACACACTTTGTTTACAGGTATTCAGAATCAAGGCAAGAGTTCTTTACTTAGTGAGTCTTGTGAATTAAAAAATTTCAAAAATATAACTTATGCATTTTCTCACCAATGCTTTTATTTCTCTCATGGAATTCTTTTAGAGCCAATCATTAATCCTAACCAGAGATTGTCATCATTCTTATAAAATGATAGTCCCACCTTGGATATCTCTTTATTAGTTACACCTTCAGTAGCCTAGAGAATACATTATTGTTTTAAGATGCCAATATTGTTGTCACTATGTATGTATTATTCAAACACAAATTTTACTATACATATTTCTTTAGTCACCCTCCCTCCCCAACAGAAAATTTTAAAAATTAAAAGAGAAAAGAGCCAGAATGATGCAAAGACTGCAAGCCATCATTTGCTTTGGCACCTCCTATTTGCCCTCAGTCCTTACTGCTGCCTTTAAGTCTGAATTCTAGCAGCTCCCCAGGCATCTGCCTGGGTTATGAACCCTTTCTGCCATGGTTCTATATGAAAATATCCATCCACTTGGCACCATCATCTCAGTTCATGGCCAAAGATGACATCAAGCCAACAAATAAATATGCATACACATGTGACCATTTCATGCCAAATTCTGCTCTCTCTAATTTCAAAACCCCCTTGTGTTGTCACCTTCTGTTTTCCCTCATTCCCATGATGTGGTTTTTATTTCCTCTTGAAGCTTCCAGACTACAGCCCCCACTCTGAATTCACTTTCTTTTAAGACTTAACTTCTCATTCCACTGAATGCCTCTTAAAAGCCAGCTAGCATTATCATATCCTCACACTCATCATGTAGAAAAGATCACAGATACTCAGGCCAGAATGCCTTGGTGTAATTGCAGATTCTGCTACTGATTTGCTGTATGGGCTTGGGCAAGTTTCTCAGATTGCTGTGCCTTACTTTCCTCATCTGTACACAGATAATAATAACAGGCTGTATCTTGAAAGAGAGGTCTCAGGAGTCATCTGTGAGATGGGATAATACAATACATACCTGAAAATTTCTATCAAAGTTAAGGAGTTTAGGAATATAGAGTGCTCAGCACTAATCTATGTGAAGAGAGAACTTTGTGCAGAGCTATTGGGTTCAAATCACACTCTTATTGCAACCCAGCTTCTGCCTCCAGGCTTCCAAATGATTTTACCTTTTAAGGATTATTAGTTGTTTATTAAGTACTGAATCCAGTAAGCCTTGTGTACACTTACTGGACTCTGCCATCCCTCACCTTCTCTGTGCCAGTAAATTTTCTGTAGTTGTTCTTCTAAACTTCTGAAAGTGTCTATCTTTTCTTGACTGACTGATGATTCTCACACAGACCATTAAATAGTTTAGCCTTTTTTCCCCCCACAAGATTGGGCCCTAAGGCTTCTTCCTTTCTCTAAACACTTCCTTTTGTTAGTTTATCAAGCCTCATCTCTCAGTGATCCCCTGAATATCTCTTTGGATTTCCCCAGAGCTCTGGGTCTGATTTCTACCTGCAGACTTTGTGTCCCCATCTGGGTGTCCCACTGCTATTTCACACTCAACATGCCCCAATCCACATACAACATCCTAAACTATTTTGTAAACTTAATTTTTCCATTTCTTTCTTTTTGTAGTGCCAGGGATGGAACTGACTAGGCAAGTTCCCTACTACCATTGAACTTCATCACTAATCCTTTTTTTCCTATTTCTTAATGCCTCTTCCATGACACTCAAGTTCTAGTGTCAAAACTGAGGTGTCATAAAATATGTTCTAGTTATTCTAACCTTACAAAAATCTTTGGCATTTGTTATATCTGTTCTGTAGGCAATTTAGAATCTACTGGAAGATTCTAAGTAGGACAACTAGCATTTCTGAATTAGTATTATGAGAAACTCACAAGAAGTGAATCAACCCCCAGAGAATGAAACTTTTAACGTCACAGTGGGCAAGAAAAACATATTGGGGTATGAGGTTAGTTTTCTTTGTTCATCAGTTAACATATATGGCATAGAATGGACATGATTTAGGCATAGGAATATTGTCTCCAAAAAGACACAGCTTGGTGATCTGAAATCCTTAGCATGAAGATTTGTCATCCATCCAGGTAATATCATTGAGAAGCATAAAAAAACAGTTTCGTAATTTTGCAATTTTGTAGTCTGCTGTTACAAAATACTTTATCCTGAGACATTATTCTTTCAATCGAAGTAAAATGTTTAAATTGTGACTATTATATCAAACTAGAAGGAAAGGGATGAATGAGAAGTAAGAAGGATTATATCAAACCAGATACAGAGTTTGAACTCACTAAATGATCTTCAGTGTTTCACATAGCAAATCTTACTTTCGCTAAAGGTATTAGTTTTGTATATGCATATATACGTATATATATGTATGTATGGTCACATGCGTATATATATATACGCATGTGACCATACATACATATATATATATATATATACATACATATATGTATGTATTCAGTGGATCTACTAATCCTTCTCCTTTCTTTAAGGATCTTGATGTCTAATTAAAGTGTATATATATATATATATGTACATATATATATGTATTCAGTGGATCTGCTAATCCTCCTCCTTTCTTTAAGGATCTTGTTGTCTCATTAAAGTGTTTTAAGCTTTTAGAAAGGGACATGAAAGATGATAAGATGCCTATGTTTAATTAAAGACAAATTTGCAGAAGGACAATCATTCAGACACCAATTCTCTTAGCAAACTTTCTTTCTCCAGCTTTGATAGGGAAGTTCACCACATTGTATTATGTTTCCTAGATAAACCTTGAGATTCTCAAAGAAAGATGATAGAGAGAAACTAGATCATCTTTCAGGCCATTTATCAAAGTGCTCACATTTCCCATTTCATGCCAGGTGAAACAATAATAAACACTGAGAAATGAGAGCTGCAAAATGGAGAGCAGGAAGAAGAAGGAGAAGAAAGCTGATGGGTTTGGTTCTGCCAAACCTGGATCCCCAGTGGAAGGTGAGTATGGTTTATAAATCACACTTTGAAAAAAACATGCTGTACTTACAGAGGCTGGAGTGGCATTTCTTTCCTATTTTCAGGGGGAAACTTGTCCATTGTGTTGTATTTCAGAGACAAAGTTTGCCAAATCATTTAAGTAACTTTCCCTAAATATAGGCTAATATCCCCTACTTCAGCAAGAAGGATTTTCTCCCCTCTTGTCCACTTACAACTAAGGATTAGCAGGGAGGGCCACCCAAGAGGTCTTCACAAAACTGGAAAAGTGTTATCCATGGTCAGGGACATACAGCCCTTCTCTTTTGAGTCTCAATGTGAAGAGCTTACCACAATGGGTTAAAGTTGATTCTTATAAAACGTGCTATTACCAAACAAGGAGAAAATGTGAACTCTTCCTAAGATGAAGCACAGTGCCCTTTTTGAATATAATCTTTGAGATCCTTGAGTGATTATCACAATGGTCTTGCTTTAAGTGTCATAGTCATGCTTAGTTTTTATGGTCTGTAGAAAAAACAGCAACATAGTAGCACTACGATAATATACCAAAAGGCATTTATTATCAGCTTTTCTTCTATCTGCCTGTGGAAAAAGTTGTTCTAGAAGACAACTTATTTTTACAGGGATTTGAATATCAGAATACAGCACTAGAAGGACTGTATACAATGATTACAAGAAGCAGAATTTTTGCATATGTGCGGAGTGGACAGGGATATTTATAGGCTTCTGACTTCCCAGTCTAAGATGATAGAAGGCCTATTGTAAACAAAAGACAGATTTAGGGGACAGGCATGATGCTGCATGCCTGTAACACCACCTGCTCAAGAGGCAAAGGTAAGACGATTGCAGTCTAAGGCCAGCCTGGGCAAAAGTGCAAGACCCTATCTATAATCAAACTAAGACAAAAAAGACTAGGGGCATGGCTTAAATGGTAGCACACTTGCCTATAAAGTGTGAGGCCCTGAGTTCAAACCCTTGTACTACCAAAAAAAAAAAAAAAAAAACAAATTGAAAAAAGGATAACAACTGAAAGTTTGTTCCAGTTTATATTTAAAATAATAATGAGAACTATACTATGGAACACACAATGGAGTCCCAGACAGAAAAACTGTGACCACAGAAAACCTAATAAGAGAAAATGCGATAATATTCCTTTATGCAGATCCTGACAATGATAACTTTAAGACTTGTTTGGGGGAAAAGTACAGGGAAGTCTTTTTAATTTGAGAGTGTCCCTATCACTAGGCTGGCAA